CTGCTGTTGAGCTCGTTGCCAGAAAGCTGGGATACTCTGGTGGTGACCCTGAATAACTCGACTCCAGATGGAAAATTGAAGATTGATGTCGTGACAGACAGCCTCCTGGGCGAAGAATCCAGGAGAAGAGAACGAGGTATTTCGAGTACGTCTGAGGCCAACGTTGCTGAGAACAAAGGGAAATCTGACTCCCGCGGTAGAAGCAAAAGCCGAGGTAGAGGTTGTGACAGACGAGACAAGTCCAGAGGTCGGTCAAAGCCGAAATATGAGTTGAAGTGCTTTTACTGTGAAAGACATGCCATAAGAAGCCAGACTGCTGGACCCTGCAGAATGATGAGAAGAACGGCTCTGTGAAGCCAGATCAGATTATTCCCAAGAAGAGGGAAGACAAGAGCACCACTGCGGTGGCTGCCAACCTTGATGCCGATATATTCCTCCTTGGTGAGGATAATTATTTGAATGTTGCATATGATGACTGCACCTGGATTGTTGACTCCGGTGCCTCCTTCCACGTTACTCCACACAAAGGTTTTTTCTCCTCTTATCGAGGTGGTGATTTTGGAGTCGTGAAGATGGGAAATCAAGTGACCAGCAAGATTGTTGGTGTCGGTGATGTAACTCTGACCACAGATGTCGGATGCCGACTTGTGTTGAAAGATTTAAGGCATGTTCCTGACATGCGTTTGAACCTAATCTCGGTAGGCAAACTTGATGATGCCGGGTTAGTGAACTACTTCGGTAGTGTGAGATAGAAGCTGGCCAAGGGAAACTTGGTCGTGGCCCGAGGTAAGAAGGAAGGCTCTTTGTACGTGATGCAAGGAAAGATCAATGGCAGAGAAGCCAATTCTGTCCGAGATGAACCTAGCTTGGAACTATGGCACAAGCGCCTCGGCCACATGAGCGTGAAAGGGCTCCAGATCCTGAACAAGAAAGGATTATTGACCGGGTTGAAAGGCCAAGCGTTGGAGCGTTGCACGCACTGCCTAGCTGGAAAGCAGCACCGAGTTTCTTTTGTGAGACCGGATCAACCTAGACGACGCAGGTATATTCTTGACCTCGTCCATACTGATGTCTGCTCCATGTCGGAAAGATCCCTTGGAGGAGCTCAGTACTTTGTTTCATTTATTGATGACTATTCCCGCAAAGTGTGGGTATATTTGTTGAAAACTAAAGACCAGGTACTCCAATCATTTAAAGAATTCCATGCGATGGTTGAAAGGGAGACTGGCAAGAAATTGAAGGTGGTCCGATCTGATAATGGTGGTGAGTATTGCGGCCCATTTGATGCATACTGCAGAGCGGCCGAGATTCGACTAGAGAAGACGCCCCCCAAGACACCTCAGCTGAATGGACTGGCTGAGCGGATGAACAGAACTATTGAAGAAAAGGTCGGAAGCATGTTATCCAATGCCGGATTGCCGAAATCATTCTGGGGAGAAGCCGTCAAAACAGCTGTTGATTTAATCAACCTCTCACCATCACGGCCACTTGAAGGAGAAATTCCAGAAGAAGTCTGGACAGGTCGGAAAGTGGCCTACAATCAACTGAAAGTGTTTGGATGCCGAGCTTTCGTGCATATCCCTAAAGATGAAAGGGCCAAACTTGATGCAAAGACCAAAGAATGCATTTATCTTGGTTCGCCGAGATGTGAGTTCGGGTTCCGACTTTGGGATCCAATCAATAAGATGATCGTGAGAAGCCGAGATGTGATCTTTCATGAGCATGAGAACATTAATGACATCTCGAAGCCCAAAGCCCAGGTGACTGTCAGACGTGAAGAACCCATCCCTCCTGTCCGAGCTAAAGCAGGGGGAGAAAATTAAGAGAATGAAGAAATTGATGACCAGCAACAAGCTGAAGATGACCAAGACACTAAGGTCCGAGTTGAAGATGAGATCCGGGATGAAATTGATGAACCGGGTTCTCAAGCTGAAGAACAGCCGAGATATCCAACTCGAGAAAGAAGACCCTCTACAAGATACCCATCCGATGAATACACCGTTGTTGCTGAAGACGGTGAGCCTCAGAGTTATGATGAGGCTGTAACGAGCTCAGAGAAAGAAGAATGGAAAAAGGCAATGCAAGACAAGATGAAGTCTCTGCACGAGAATCAGACTTATGAGCTGACTGAGTTGCCAAAAGGAAGACGAGCTTTGAAGAATAAATGGGTATACAAGATTAAGAATGAAGAGAACGGGAAAAGCCAAGATACAAAGCCCGAATTGTAGTGAAAGGCTGCAATCAGAAGAAAGGAGTAGACTTTGAGGAGATTTTTTCTCCTGTGGTGAAAATGACCTCGGTCCGAACTGTGTTAGCCATGGCAGCTTCAATGGACCTCGAGGTAGAACAAATGGACGTGAAGACGACATTTCTTCACGGTGACTTAGAAGAAGAAATATATATGGAGCAACCTGAAGGATTCCAAGCTCCAGACCAAGAAGACTTGGTATGTCGGTTGAAGAAGAGCCTCTATGGCTTGAAGCAAGCACCTCGACAGTGGCACAAGAAATTTGAATCATTCATGACTGATCATAAGTTTGAGAAGACTGAAGCCGACCACTGCGTATTTATGAAGAGGTATGAGGCCGAAGATTTTCTGATTTTGTTGTTATATGTTGACGACATGCTTATTGTAGGGAAATATAAATCGAGGATAGCCGCCCTGAAAAAGGCATTAAGCTCGTCCTTCGCAATGAAGGACCTCGGCCCTGCAAAGCAGATTCTCGGAATAAAGATTATCCGAGATAGACAGAAGAAGCTACTGTGGCTGAGTCAAGAGAAATATATTGAGAAGATTCTGAAGAGATTCAGCATGGACAAAGCCAAAACAGTGAGCACCCCCCTAGCCGGACACATAAAGCTGAACCAAAAGCAATGTCCGAGATCTGATGATGACAAAGATGAGATGATGAAGGTCCCTTACCAATCCGCCGTCGGAAGTTTGATGTATGCAATGGTTTGCACTAGACCCGACTTGGCGTATGCTGTTGGAATGGTAAGCCGGTATTTGTCAAACCCCGGCAAAGAGCACTGGGAAGCAGTGAAGTGGATCTTCAAGTACCTTCGAGGTACGACCGACTTATGTCTCCGATTTGGAGAAGGCAAAGCCGAGTTGCAAGGCTACTCGGATTCTGATTTAGGGGGAGACGCCGACTCGAGGAAGTCGACTACAGAATATTTGATGAGATTTGCCGGAGGAGCTGTCTCTTGGCAATCAAGACTTCAGAAATGTGTTGCACTATCTATAACTGAGGCTGAGTACATTGCCGCTACTGAGGCAAGCAAAGAGATGCTGTGGATGAAGAAGTTCCTCATGGAACTCGGCCATGATCAAGACAAGTACGAGCTGGGTTGTGACAATCAAAGCGCAATCCATCTTGCGAAAAATTCAACCTATCACTCCCGCACTAAGCATATTGATGTGAGGTATCACTGGATCCGGGATGTGGTGGAAGGTGGTGAGCTCGAACTCGTCAAGGTGCACACTGACCAAAATTGGTCCGACATGATGACGAAGCCGGTTCCAGCAAGAAAATTTGAAGACTGCTGTGAAGGAGCCGGATTGATGATGAGGCCGACGCATTGAAGTCGGAGGGGGAGATTTGTTGGGCTTCCTCCTTCAATGCTAAGCCCAAGCCCATTTGAGGGGTTTCCTAAAAACCCTAACCCTAATTTCCACCTCCTCTATATATACTCATTGTTGTGGGTGGAGGCTAGGTTAGATTTGAGAGGTCATATTTTTGAGAGAACAAATTTGAGAGAATTATTGGATTGTTTGAGTAAAGCTTTATGCTTTGCATTTGAGAGATCTCTAGAGAGAGTTTGAGTGAAACATCTCTAGGGTAGTTTGATTATCACCATTGTTGGAGAGGTTGAGTTAACCACCACATTGGTGTATTTGATTCGTTGTAACCATTATTTTCATAGTGGATTTCTGATCTGGACTAGGTCCCGTGGGTTTTTACTTCTTCATTGGAGAAGGTTTTCCTACGTTAAAACTGGTTGTGTTCTTCTTCTCTCTCTCTCCTATTTTGATTTTTTCGTTTTTGATTGTTCCACTGCGCTGCCTGACCTGGTGAAGTTCAGACTGAGGTATTGCCGAGATCCGAGATCAGGATCTTGTTGATTGACTTCCGCACAAAGGCTCCTGAGCTGAGCTTGAGGGAACCGAGTTTTCCCAACATCATCTAACAATACCACATTAGATGTGACATTTCTACTTTGTGTTTGTCACCTATTTTTGCTCACAATGATAAACAATGAGAAAATATATACCCCATCCATCCTCAAAATAATGATAATGAGAAAATATTTTATGCCAAAGAACGTGATAAACAAGTATTTCATCTATGCAATAAGTTGGTAAGTAAAGGGTCAATTAATGATTTTTATATTATATTTTTTTAATAAATTTCCTCTGGGAAGAATTTTTTGAATTTGAAGCATCATGACTTTGTGAGAATAACGAAGATCGAACTCGTGGACCTCTTACCATGTCAAACAATAAATTAATCCAGACAAGCACTAAACAAATAAAGATTGATAGTGCCTAAAGCGATTGGGTATCAATTTTTCCGATACTGCAACTTCAGCCAGAAATACTATAGGCAAACTCAACCAGTCCATTATGTTTTATGTCATATCTCAACTTCAATGTATGCGTATGTGAAATATAAAAATCAAAAATCAACGAAGCACATAGTCCAAATGGTGTGAGGTAAATTCATCCCTGAAGTTATAACATGATTAATTTTACATAAACCAAATCAAATCTCCCAACTTAATGTAGATATCAGATAAACCTAGTTGCTTGGCTATATGCATAAAAGGAAGTGTTTTGAATATGTCACCAGAAAATATTTATTACGTTACAACCAAGACATTAAATTAAAAGGAAAAACTAACATCTGATTTTATAAATAACCAACATACTTAGCTACCTAAGCATTGTGCAACCTACTTACCGATCTAATAACTTATTCCAGCTACTAAAGTTCGCCAATGGCTTCCGATGAGCAAAGCAATAGAAAAAGCCATAGCAGCAACAACTTTCTTCAAACCCAAGTGGTGGTGGTTGTGATACCTTTCCCAGCACAAGGCCATCTCAACCAGCTTCTGCACTTGTCACGCCTAATCTTGTCACATAATTTACCTGTTCATTATGTTGGCACAACCACACATAACCGCCAGGCCACAGTTCGAGTCCAAGGTTGGGACCCAAAATCCATTTCAAACATCCATTTCCATGATTTTGAGGTTCCTCCCTTTGTTTCCCCTCCTCCAAACCCCAATGCAGAAACCAAATTCCCATCTCATTTGCTTCCTTCCTTCAAGGCTTCTTCACATCTGCGTGAGCCCGTAGCAAAACTTATGCAATCCCTTTCATCTATAGCTAGAAGGGTCGTAGTTATCCATGACTCTTTAATAGCATCAGTGGTACAAGATGTCAAAAATATAACAAATGCAGAGAATTACACTTTTCACAGCATCTCTGCCTTTACCACCTTCTCTGTTTATTGGGAGGAAATGGGAAGGCCTCAAATTGAAAGCTCACATATCCTAGAAGTTCCTTCTTTGGAAGGATGCTTTACAACCCAATTCTTAGATTTTATTGAAGAACAACTTCAATTCGAAAAATCCAGTGCTGGCAACATCTACAACACATCGAGGGCAATTGAAAGTCCTTACATTGAGTTGTTAGAACACATCCTTGATACCGGGAAGCATTGGGCGTTGGGGCCCTTCAACCCTTTAGTTATTGAGAAGAAAAACATAAACGGAAGGCATTTATGCATGGAGTGGCTTGATAAACAAGAGCAAAATTCAGTTATATATGCATCCTTTGGGACAACAACAGCATTGACAGAGGAACAAATCGAACAGATTGCAATAGGATTGGAACAAAGCCAGCAAAAGTTCATCTGGGTACTAAGAGATGCTGATAAAGGAGACATTTTCAATGAAGATGAAGTGAGAAGACATAAGCTTCCAAAAGGGTTTGAAGAGAGAATGGAAGGATTCGGGTTAGTTGTGAGAGATTGGGCACCCCAATTGGAAATTCTAAGCCACCCTTCAACAGGAGGGTTTATGAGTCACTGTGGATGGAACTCATGCATAGAGAGCATAACCATGGGGGTTCCAATAGCCACATGGCCTATGCACTCTGACCAGCCAAGAAACAGTGTTTTGATAACACAAGTTCTGAAGGTTGGTTTGGTTGTGAAGGATTGGGCTAAGAGAGATGAGTTGGTGACTGCATCAGTTATTGAGAATTCCATTAGAAGGTTGATGGAAACAAAGGAAGGTGATGACATGCGAGAGAGAGCAGAGGATCTTAAAAAAGCCATCCATAGGTCCATGGATGAAGATGGAGTTTCTCGTATGGAAATGGATTCTTTCATTACTCATATAACTAGATAGTATGGTTCAACCATACACTCTTCTCGTATGCACTTAATGGCCTTACCACACAGGATGTGGCAGAATTTCATAGCGCATGAAGTGAATGCAAAATAGGATTTGGCTAGAAATACACAGATTATTCTGTTTTTAAGACATTATCTGGTAAAGTTTCCGGGATGATTATGTGTGCAAAGCCTTTTTGCTGAACTACTAAAATGAATGCGATTATAAGTTTTCTTATACATAAATTTCAAAACAATCCTCAGGTATAAATAATTGTGTTCATAAACCAGTTAAGAGTTATGAAATTATCTATATAACCTACCACTTAAAATAAAATTTGATTGTATGTTCTATTATGTCATTCTTACAATATTTTGTTAGAGCTAAGCTCTAAAAGGGGAGAAAATTCTCGAGATTAAGGGATCTAACAGAGAAAAGAAAATAAAGAGTGAGAAAGGAAACAACTCAAGATGTATCATGTTGAGAATTCAAGCGTGAGTGGTACAAAATAACACATTCGAAAGGAACGAGCCTCTAAAGAACCAATTCAACCCTGTGCGAAGAAAGAAATTCCACTTAAAAGAAAGTGGGGGGCGACGAGGATCGAACCCAGGACACGAGGCTCTGATACCATGTAAAGAACCAATTCAACCCAAAAGCTTAAGCTGTTAGGTGAGGCTACATTAATGGTTTTATATATCTCAACAGAGGTAAACATAACATATATAAGTTAAATGATCCTTAAACTTAATATTTTAAGATTTTGAATTGAGACGTGGTGTCTGACTCATTTATTATGTGTTTGTTGTTTAGGCTCATTTAATGCATCAATAGTAGTGGCCTCCCTATGTTTTTGATTGTATGTGTCCTATACTAGTTTCAGGGAAAGCATCAATGTTATTGTTCATGAGTTAAATTTATGTAATAAAAAATGTTGTACATCTTCGTTATTGATTGTGAAGCCAGTGGTTATATGTTTTGAGGTATAGGAGTAGCATTAATCCCCCGATGTTGAAATTATCACACAATTCTGTCCTGAAGTGTCCAATATGGTGGGTCAGTACATCCATCTTTAAAAGGGGATAAATGTTTCCTAACCACAATAGGTCCCCATTTCCATTGACCGATCCCTCACCTGATTCCTCACTCCCATGCACAGAATGGGGTTCAAATAACAAAACGGTTAATTTCAAAGATTCTTCGCTGGCGGAAATTTTCTCTCTTGTAAATACCTCACTCCTCAACTGAGGAGTCATCTTTTGCATACCATTTTCTATTGCAGCATTATACAGCCAACCATGCCCTTCGCCTCCCCGTGATTCTTAGGATATGCCTTAATTTATACTAGTCACTCAATTAGAGTTATATTTACAAATTTAATATATAATTATATTTATAAATTTTTTATTTACAAACTCTTATTAAAAAAAACTATGTACTTTAAAGAGTTTAGTTTGAAAAAGTTTATAAACAAATTTTTTGTAAATATAATCTATTCTCACATGTCAAATTCCAAAAATGACATATAACTACCAACTGACGACCGATGTCCAGTGGAAAAAGCATAAGCAAAGCAATTTGCAATCATCCTTCCTTGATATTCTACAATTTTTTTTTTTTTTGGGTACATATTCTACAAAATTTTTACAAAGTAGAAAGCGAACCACATAAAATCTACACAAAATCCAAAACAGTAGTTTGGGACTGACATCATGTTGCTTCTTTTTTCAGAGACCGATACCATTTTATTTGTTTTACATTTTACTCTTGCTAGTAATTTTGAAGAAGATTTTATGAGTACAATTAGATAGCTAGAAAAAGCTCTTACAGAATTTTCATATACTTTTTTTTTTTGGTAATAAAATTTTCATATACTTCAATCATCATCACTTCCACTCCTCTTTTTTTTTTCCCCTATCTTATTGTTTTCCTCCAATCAACATACCTCCTATTTTTTAGGAATCTGGACAAGATTTTTCTATATATATATCTTTTTGGATTTTTAATATTTTTCTCATCCAAACGTAACTTTCATTTTGAACAACACGTCTTTATTAATGGCGGCTTATTATTTATGATTTAAAATAATAGATAAAAGGGTTCAATAATTCTCACCATAAAATAACTAGAATGATACGTGCACAACTTTTCTTACATTGGTTAACAATATGTTTATATCACAGGTTTTAATTTAAGAATTTGAAGCCATTGAGTTCATTAATTTATTTATCATTGGTCCAAAACCAAGTTATCAAAAAAATTTAGTTCTTATTAATTTATGAGTAAAATTTCTTGTGGGTCCCTAATAAAAAATATGGTCCTCACTTTAGTCCCTTGTAAAAAAAATTAGTCGCTTGATTCTTATGAAATTTTTTTTTTTTTTTTGTAAAGGACTAAAGTGAGAACTGTATTTTTTGGCAGGGACCCAAAAGAGACTTTAATCTTAATTTATTTACACTGATCCTCCCATAAAGCAGCCTACCCAACTTGCAACTTGCGTTGAATTGAACTAGGAGGATAAAATACTAACTTAAAACATGCTAGCCTTAATTTGACTTTAGATGGAAGCCACCTTATTTTCATGGATTAGGCTGCCATATTTTGTCACCTCTAAATGTAGGCGCATGCTCATTAATAGTTTATTCATTATTTGATAATAATTTAAAAAATTTCTAAACCCGGACATTTGGTAGAGGAGAATTTTTTGTTTGTTCGGAAATCTCAATTTTCAAAAATATAATTTTTACATTCAATTTATAATAATATCCAAAAATTTAAAATTTAAAAAAATTCAATTTCCCAAAAACCCTGAAAATATCCTCGTACCACCACGAGTATTAGGGTCATCCTTCTAATGTAGGCTAACTACAAAATTTAATCGTCAACCACCGTAATAAGATCAACATTTGAGCATTGTAACATACAGTGAAAAAATATAATTAATGCAATTAAATAAATCTTTTGGATTTTCATTTATTCCATATGTCATATAATAATAGCATGTATAGTTGTAAAAACTGAAGATACCATGAGTCCTCATTTCTTGCTTTTGTATACAAAAGCCTTTCATTCAATATACATGATTTGAATATTAATTGGACAAAACCGTAAACAATTCCAGAATTGAAAATTCAATGCACAAGGCATCATTATGCATATAAATGATGGGTTTTATAAGAGTTATGCTGTAGGAAAAATGATTGTGTAATGTTATAGAGATTCGTTTTGCGTGCCTTAATTTTTTTTGCTTCAAAAAGTGCGGGCCCCACAAAATGTTGTGTGTGTAGGAAATTTTTGTTGGGCTTCCTCCTTCAATGCTAAGTCCAAACCCATTTGAGGGGTTTCCTAAAAACTCTAACCCTAATTTCCACCTCCTCTATATATACTTATTAGTTATGGGTGGAGGCTAGGTCTTATGAGAGAATTTTATTTGACAGATATTTAAGAGAAAATTGTTTGAGCAAAGCTTTATACTTTGCATTTGAGAGATCTCTAGAGAGAGTTTGAGTGAAACATCTCTAGGGTAGTTTGATTATCACCATTGTTGGAGAGGTTGAGTTAACCACCATATTGGTGTATTCTGATTATTTTGTAACCATTATTTTCATAGTGGATTTTTGATCTGGACTAGGTCCCGTGGGTTTTTACTTCTTCATTGAAGAAGGTTTTTTCACGTTAAATCTGGTTGTGTTCTTCTTCTCTCTCTCGTTTTGTGATTTTTCGTTTTGATTTTTCTGCTGCGCTGCCTGACCTGGTGAAATTCAGGCCGAGGTATTGATGAGATCTGAGATCGAGGATCTCATTGACTGACTTCTACAAAGGCCCCTGAGCAGATCTGAGGGAACCGAGTTTTCCCAACAGTGGTATCAGAGCCCGAGTTCGACGGGTTCTGAGGGAGACGAGATGGAGACCAGTGGCATAACCAATGATGGAGACATGTTCAAGTTGACCGCAGACAACTTCACTTATTGGAGAGCAATGATGGAAGATCATCTCTACTGCAAAGATCTACATGAGCCCATTACCCTTGATGAGAAACCGGCAGGCAAGACCGATAAGGAGTGGGAGATCCTGAGTCGGATGGCGGTAGCCACGATCAGAAAATATATTGATAAAAGCCTCTTTGAGCACGTGTCCGAGTTCACGAACGCGTATGAGTTGTGGACGAAGCTGGAGTCCATGATTCATAAGAAGACTCCCACGAATAAAGCATACCTGGTTCGCCGACTTGTGAAGCTTGAATACAAGGACGACATGAGCATGATTGAACACCTCAACACCTATAAAGGTATTGTGAATCAGCTGTCAAAAGCTGAGATGAAAATTGATGATGAGATGCAGGCTTTGCTGCTGTTGAGCTCACTGCCAGAAAGCTGGGATACTCTGTGGTGACTTTGAGTAATTCAGCTCCAGAAGGAAAGTTGAAGATGGATGTCGTGATAGACAGCCTCCTGAGCGAAGAAGTCAGGAGAAGAGAACGAGGTACTTCGAGCACGTCTGAGGCCAACGTTGCTGAGAACAAAGGGAAATTCGACTCCCGGGGTAGAAGCAAAAGCAGGGGTAGAGGTCGTGACAGACGAGAAAAGTCCAGAGGTCGGTCAAAGCCGAAATATGAGTTGAAGTGCTTTTACTGTGGAAAGACAGGCCATAAGAAGCCAGACTGCTGGACCCTGCAGAATGACGAGAAGAACGGCTCTGTGAAGCCGGATCAGATTATTCCAAAGAAGAGGGAAGACAAGAGCACCACTGCGGTGGCTGCCGACCCGAATGCCGAGATATTTCTTCTTGGTGAGGATAATTATTTGAATATTGCATATGATGACTGCACCTGGATTGTTGACTCCGGTGCCTCCTTCGAGGTTACTTCACACAAAGGTTTTTCCTCCTCTTACCTAGGTGGTGATTTTTGAGTCGTGAAGATGGGAAATCAAGTGACCAGCAAGATTGTTGGTGTCGGTGATGTAACTCTGACCACAGATGTCGGATGCCGACTTGTGTTGAAAGATGTAAGGCAT